CTGCCTGACCAAGTGGCTGTCTTGAAGGTTAAAGCACATGGTAAACTGAATTCTTAAGAGGCCAGAGGGAACCACTTGGCGGATATAGCTGCCAAAGAAGCAGCGAAAAACCAACGAAAAACATCCGAGGTGGCCGAAGAGGAGAGTGAGACCACAGCACAGATACTTTTGGCGGTGCATGTGCCATCTGACAAGCAATACCTGATCTCTATGCAAATGGCTGCTTATACAGAAGAAAGGCTGGAATGGATTGATAAAGGAGCAGACGACGATGGAGAATTGTATTCGATGAAAGAAAAAACTTGTTTACCAAAACATATGCATCTAGCAGTTGTCCAAGGGGTGCATGGACATGCACATCTCTCTAAGAACTTAATGAACTCACTGATCAGCAAGTATTACTGGGCTCCAGGGATAACCACTTTAACCAGAAATTACTGCGCCTCGTGTGTAGTATGTGCAAAATGCAACCTGGGGAGGACGGAAAAGACACCGCAGAAACCCCTCTATCCATTCCAGAGGGTACAGATTGATCATATACAGATGCCAAAAAGTGGCTGATATGAATATGCCCTTGGGGTGGTGGACATGTTCTCTGGTTGGCCGGAAGCCTATGCTGTTACAAACATGACAGCCAAGACCACGGCTAAGAAACTACTGAGTGAGGTAGTCTGTAGATTTAGGGTCCCAGAGGTGATAGAGAGTGATCAGGGTCCAGCCTTCACAGCAATCCTTACAAAAAAGATTTGGAAAGCACTGGGAGTCAAGTTGGCCCTACACACCCTATATCACCCTCAAAGCAGTGGGAAGGTAGAAAGGATGAATGGGACTCTAAAAAACAGGATGCTAAAGATGGCCCAAGAGACTAACATGAGTTGGCCAGACAGCTTGCCCATTGCTCTGTTTCGTGTCAGACACACCCCCTGGGGGAAACATGCCCTGTCCCCTTATGAAATTTTTTTGGTTCAGCCCCCAGACTTGGCTGTTACTTTCTACAGCAGTTGCAGTTACAATCTGATGTGTTAACTAGCTATGTCACAAGTCTGTCTAGAGAATTAACCAATATCCATTCTCAAGTGTTTTCCTCCATTCCAGATCCAGAGGCAGACTCGGGAACTCATAGTCTTCAGCCAGGAGACTGGGTGTTGGTGAAGAAATTCACGAGGAAAAATTCACTTGATCCCCGATTCGAAGGACCATTCCAAGTCCTGTTGACCACAGCTACATCAGTCAAGCTAGAAGGGAAAAACACCTGTATACACGCCTCCCATTGCAAGAAAGCCCTATCTCCTGAAGACAAGACTCTGCCTGCACCACAATGATTGTGTTGTATATCCTTTTCCTAATGAGTTTGATAGAAGCTCAGCAGGTGGCTATCACCAAAACAGGTGTTCAGCAGGTGGCCATCACTAGGATGAATGACACCTTCATATTCTGGTACAATTCATCCAACACACATGTGGCTGCATTCACCTTTGATTTTTGTAGTATGATACCCATATATTGCAATAGTCGTAGACTGGATTGGGCACAGCGGGCTTGTCTGGCGATCAACTCGGATCAGATATACATATATGTATAACGGATGATTTTTGGGGACTGAACTGTGCCCATTGGGGATCAGTGGGATGGAGTACTGGGGCAGGTTGGGGGTATCAACCATGGAGTGCCTTAAAAAGGAAAGATAAGGTGGGGAAGCCTCTCATTAAACGTATGTCCATCTGGAAGTCAGGGTGCAGTGATTACGGAGAAAGACTCGTCCTAAACATTGAGAATCCCAGCCCTGGTGATGCAGGACTTTACTGGTTAGGCAGGCACCCACAGAAAGGTACACCTCTAGCAATAATAATTACATGCAATGCCAAACTGCAGTTTTTAAAGCAATCAAAATCCTCACCTGTATTAAAAGAGGTATGGGCTCTAGAGAGAGAGATATCATTTTACCCCTGTACAAACCCCTGTACCTTATCTGGAAAATGCAGCTCAGTTTTTGGCACAAATTCACAAATAAGAACATTGGGGAACTGGAGAAAGTACAGAGAAGGGCAACCAAACTGATAAGAGGAATGGAAGAGCTTAGCTTTGAGAAAAGATCAAGGGAATTTAATGTATTTGTCAGGAATGGAGCTTTTTATTGTACAATTGTAGCATACAAACCAGCCACAACATTTCTTATAAAAGTAAAAAAATATAAATAAATACAAACATAAACCACATGTACAAACAAAAAGTCCAGAACTTCCTGAAATGGAAAAACTCAACACAAAAAGAAACAGCCATTTATGGCCTGCAGCATAGTAGTCCAAGGCCTTTTGGCCCACAACATGAGCCCAAAGAAAGGCCTTTATGGCCTTAAACAGGAAAGTCCATACCTGAAAAACAACATGTATCCATACAGGCCTTTATGGCCAAAGGAAGGAGCAACAAAGCCTGATGCTCCAGGCATACAAAAAAAAAAACCACATCATCAGCATAATTATATACTTATGAAGGCCTTTATGCCCAAAACAATCAATTTCCATCTCACTGCTTCAGAAGGGCTTTATGGCCTAAACATGCTATACAAACAAAACAATTACATCACCAAGAAAAGGACTAAGAAACTCAGACCTTTAGCATCTGCAGCCTTTCATCAAAAAGGATCCATACCTGCAAAACCTAGGGGAGTGTAAACGAAGAAACTAGGGACAGATGCCACCACTCGAGATCAACAGGTAGCAGCTACAGGCTTGATGTTCCTCCACGCCTCCATCCAAGCCTTCCGCCGCCACCTGCCTCTCTCAAGGCCCCGAATCTCCCCAACCTCACCAAGGATGCCACACACCACCACCTCGACGGGGAGGACTTTTTGCAGAAGGGATACCTGGCACCGTGCATTCCACGTGTAATGACGGACCACTAAGCTGACTAAAAACAAGGTGTCCAAATCAAAACCCAGGCGGCTTTCGAATGCTCCATACACCCACTCTGCATAAAACATGCAGTGTAGGAAAGAAACACCCAGAGCCCCACCCACCTCTTTATATACTTCCACGTTAAAGGGGCACTGAAGCAAGAAGTGGTCCATAGTTTCCACTTTACCCTGACACTCCGCCCTCGGACAACCACGGTCATCCGGAGGACGGTACTTCAAGTTACCCCTCACGTAAAGCCTGCCATGGAAAGCGAGCCAGGCCTGGTCCCTAAACTTCAAGGGAATCCATTCTAGATTTATCAAACGTAAACCCTCACTCATGAAATGGCCTGGGCAATCTTTCAAGGCCAACGGGAGCTTACCGTGCTTGATCCGCAGGCTTTTCACTGGCCCGCCACTCTCCCAACTGCTCAAAAAGGGTCCAAACCAAGTCCGAAACAGCCCTACCTATGAAGGTGGTCTCTCTGCCAGCATGTTCCTAAAATTATGTTTCAAGAACATCAGAGAGAAGAAAACTATCGGGTTGACCATACTTAGGCCACCCTCCCACCTGGATGAGTAGGTTACATCCCGCCTGACAAGGTTCAGCCTGTTCCCCCATAACATCTGGAAGAAACAACTGTAAATCCTCATATAGAGCGACTCTGGCAAGAGGCAAACAAAACTGACATACAAAAGCACAGGGACCAAGAAAGTTTTGATCAGGTCAACCCTTTCCCTGAAGGAGAGCCGCCACCCCTTCCAGCATCTCACCTTGACCTCAGCTTCGGACAGCTTGGACTCCCAATTTGACTTGCTGTAATCAGCAGGGCCGAAATTGATGCCTAAAATTTTCACACTCTGCTGAGGCACTGGGAAGGTGTCCGGAAGTGAAAAGCTCTCACCCTCCCCAGCAGCATCCACCGGCACCCCACCCAACGCCCCACCATCTAGCCTCCTGACAAAGGGGTCGATAGCGAAAACGTAGAGCAGAGGGCTCAGCGGGCACCCCTGACGCACCCCCGATCCAACCCCAAAAGGCCGCCCAACCCAACGATTCACCAACATGAAGCTCTCAGCCTCCCTATATAATGTCTTCAGCCAGCCAATGAAGCTCCCCTCCAAACTGTACCGGTCCAGGAGATGCCAGAGGTACTCATGATTGACTCGGTCAAAAGCCTTTGCCTGGTCCGCAGCCAGCAGAAACTTTCCCCATCCCTCAGCCTTGCACCATTACAGAGCCTCCCGGACAGCTAACACCGCTGTGAAGGTACTCCTGCCCTGAACTGAGCAATGTTGCTGATGAGAAAGCAAGCCATCTGCCACTGACGACAAGCGCCAGATCTTAGCCAGAACCTTTCTATCGACATTGAGAAGGCTAATGGGGCGCCAGTTCTCAATAGCCGAAGGATCCTTACCCTTTGATAGGAGAATCACTGCAGACTGCCTCATGGAGTGAGGGAGGGACCCCTCACCCAGACAGCAATTGTAAACCTCCGCAAGGCAAGGCACCAAGCTGGACTTAAAGGTCTTAAAAAAACTCAGCTGTCAAACCATCTGGCCCAGGAGTCTTTTTAATGGCCAGACTGTCAATGGCTTTGATCACCTCTTCTGCAGTAATTTCCCCAGTCAAACTTGCGGGCAAGACATTACCTTCCAGACCCGGTGTAGACTCCAAAAAGCTTAACATCCTTGTCCGGTCGAGGTGCTTCTTACTCAGCAAGTCCACATAAAAGGACCTAGAGACTTCCAGAATCCCTGACCTGGATATCGTCAGAGACCCTGTACCATCCCTCAGGGCAGAGACCGTCTTATTTGCTGCACCCTGTTTGCAGTTCTAAAAAGGGTCGGGCGAGTGGTACTTCCCATAATCCCTCTCCAGAACCAAAGAGGCATGCCGGTCATATTGGTTCTCCCTGAGGAGTAGCTTGACCTCCGAGATTGCCCCAGAATCTCCACCGCTAGAAACAAGGCGGTCGAGCTTCCTCCGCAACCGTTGGTAGGCGATGTACTTATTAAATTGCTTTCTTTTTCCTATGGCCTTGAAAAACCTGCCAATCTGCACCTTAGTAAGCTCCCACCACTCCGACTTACTGTTGCAGAAATCCAGCACGGTCTCCTGGGCCTGAAAGAACTCCTCAAAAGATTGTCTCACATCCACAACGACTCCCAACGTAAATTTTTTAAAATATGGGAGCCGTGGTTGCAATATGCCTTTCCCTCACTCCCCCCGGCTAGTCTGGGGATGTAATGGCTTTCGGTATTGGCGCTCTTGGACCCCTGCTCTTTGCCCTCCTTTTTTTTTTTTTCTTTTTTTCCTCCTCTTTCTTCCTTTTTTCTCTCTCTCTCTCTGTTTTTGGTGTGACTGGACAGCTGCATTTAGTTGTTATAGTCAGTTACATTAGTGTTTTGTAACTTATGTGTCATTGATAGCCCCTGCGTGGGCGTACCTTTTGCCCTGTTGGCGTTAGAGCACTGTTTTTCTTCTTTTTTTTTTTTATTTTGCATTTTTTTTTTATCTGTGCAATTGATAGCGTGGGCGTGTTTTATTGCCTCTGTTTTATACTGTTTAAAAATTAATAAAAACCATTGAAATGGAAAAGATTGTCTCACCTCCTCGTCTTCCAGCAGAGCCGAATTCAACCTCCAGATGCCCTTCCCTCTCAGCGGTGTGTCTGAAACATTCAAAGTCACAGTAAGCATAAGGTTGTTTAGAAAACTCCACCGCCCGACACTCAGGTGCCGAGAAGGCAGAGCTCTCCTTCAAAAAAAGCCTGTCTATCCTACTCTGACTATTACCTCTCCTAAACGTGAAACCAGTGCTGTCTGGGCTGCTCTTAACCAAGGCGTCCACCAGACCTGCTTCCCTGACTATAGCATTCAGAAAAACGCTATCATTTCCCAGCCTGTCATTGAAGCCCCTCCTGTCCTTGGGCCTAGTTATGGTGTTAAAATCACCTCCAAAGACCACCAGCCGAGACGTAAAAAGGAAAGGCTTGATCTTTGTGAAGAGGCATTTCCTGTCCCACTTGGACTGTGGTCCATAAATATTAATTAGGCGCAGTTCCTGCCCCCTCACAAGGACATCTAGGATCAGACATCATCTAATCTCCACCTCAATAATCCGCCGGCACGTTACCATACCGGTAAAAAAGCACCGCAACTCCGCTGTAAGGCTCAGCCGCAAGAGACCAATAGGAGGGCCCACGCCTCCACTCCCGCTTGGCCAGATGTATGTCAGCCAAGCTGGGAAACCTGGTCTCCTACAAAAACAAAACATCAGCATCAACACCGCTGAGCAAAAATAAGGCTGACTCTCTAGCACTCACAGACTTTATGCTGGCAATGTTAATAGTTGCCACCTTTATCAGAGTGGGAACTGCCATTAAGATAATTGAGAGTGGCGTTTCTTAACCCTCTTCTTGACTTTTTTTGAAAGGGTCTCCAGACCTCTTCAGAGACCCTCCTGCCTCCTCATCCTCCATCGGGGAAACAGGATCCTCAGATACCTCCTCCTCCTCCCCCGACAGAGCCCCAAACATGTTACCAAGGACCAGATCTCCCATATCCAGAGAGGAGATAGACCCTGCAGGAGAGAGGACCGGCCTGCTACGCCTCCCCACCACCGACCACCCCTCCTCCACCTGGACCCCACCCTGCTCACCCTGAACAGGACCCTGGGACCCCTGAGGTTCCCTACTGGGCTTTTTCTCCCGGAGGAGAACCGGGGGAGCAGGCACAGACGGTCTAGATTTTACATCCACCACCCTGGCCCCTCTGGCAGCCTCAGACAACTTTTTCCCTTACCAGGAGGGGGGACAGACCCAACAGGGAAAAACTACCGGGACACTGACTGGGGTGGGCTCAACCAGGGCAACTACCACAGAAGGGACAACTGAAGCCACCCCCACCTCTACCAAGGCCACTGCAGAGGCCGCCTTGGCCCTCTCCGCCGCAGCCTCCGCCTCCTCGGCATCCATCCTGTCCAATTTGGCAGCGATTTCCGCCACTGGGAGGTTGCGGAGTGCCTCTGAGCACTGATTGTATGTATGGCCCAAGACCCCCACAGAGGTTACACCTCACAATGTTGCAATCTCTTGCCAGGTGACCAATTTCCTGGAAAAGAGAGCATCGTATAACCGGGCACGTGGCAGCAAAGTGCCCCTTTGAACCACACCGGTGACATACCCCGGGGCTGATCGGCATAGAACACAACGATTCTATCCCTCCCCAAGAAACCAGATGAGGGTATGAGCTGAAGAACATTGCCCTCTACTCTCAGACGGACGGTAGTTGTCCATCCACCCGTCCAGATCCCTCTCTCGTCTACCACCTTGCTGAGGACCCTCATAACATCCCCATACCTCCCCAGCCACACTACAATATCTGATGGGGGGATGGACTCATTCCTCACAAGTATGGTGACCTTTTTAATGACATTCTGCCTAGATATTAATTTGGGAGACAACCTTACCCACCTGGGACTACGGGCATAAATTGCCTCATAGCGTTGTCAAAAGAGATCCAGTTGCTCTGGCCTCACGAACGAGACATCGTACTCCCCTGTACCCACAAGGACAATAAAAGCAAAAATATCTGCCTCCCTGAACCCCATCTCCAGGACGCGGTCTATTTCCTGTTTTCTGCTTAAAGGGGGTCCCTCCCCCGACCATTTCAGTTGCACAACATTTCTCTGGTCGCAGAGGTTGGCAGGTTACCTGCCCGTGCCATAAGTGGCCTAAATGATCCTTGCCCACCTCTCACTGCTGCTGAGTAGCTGATGACAGGCTTGGGCACAGAGGCACCTGCCTCAGGGGGAACTGGACCAAGTGGGGCCGAGACTGGATCACTGGGACCCGGGGGAACAGGGCCAGATAGAGCAGGGCCACCAGAGAGGGGGACTAGGGGTACGGAACCCAGAGGACCCTGAGCCCGAACACCCGGACCATCCACACCGGAGCCCACCAAAGCAGGGGCTGAAGTGACCTGAATCCGGGGGCCTGGACCCACCAAAAGGGGACTCTGCAGGGCCTGACATATGGGCACCTGGATTTGCGGGGACAGAACCTCAGCTGGAGCACCAGGAGCAATAGATTCCCCAGCAAGAGTAGCCCCCACCTTCAGAGGGGCGGGGCCTACCAGGACAGAGAGACCAACACAAACCGCCCCTTGCCCCACAGGAGGAGCCTGCATCACCGGCTCGGTCTTACCACCGGAGATGTCCTTTAACTCCTTGCTGCCCGTTTTTTACAGCGTCCTGCAGCACTTCCCCGGTCACCGGTATACCGTCCTTTACCAGAACAGAGCTCCCCAAGGAGCTCGGGATCCTCTTTAGCTGCACGAACACAGCGCGCTCCTTCCATACCGGCTTGGCCGGCTTCTGTGATGTATCCTCCTCCTCACTTCCGGAATCCTCCATGGTGAAGCGAAACGGTCACCTCTCAACTCCAGCTCCTCTTCCTGGAGAAAGCACAACTCCACAGCCGCCTCCGCCTCTTCCACACGCGATCCCCAATCTGCGCTCCGCTGCCCGAGGGGGAGGGAGTCCGAACCACCCACGGCCTCTGCGTCCTCAATTTCTGGCGGCGCCATTTTCCAAACTTGGTGCAGCGAGCTCAGCCAGCTCCTGCGCCGGCACACCTCCAGTCACCAGCTCACCCCCGGTCATCGGTTCACCTTCCATCACTGTCTCTGCCCGAGGGGGAGGGAGTCCGAACCAACCCACGGCCTCTGCGTCCTCAATTTCTGGCGGCGCCATTTCCAAACTTGGTGCAGCGAGCTCACCGGTTCACCTTCCATCACTGTCTCACCTCCCCGTCACCGGCTCATCAGATGACTCCTCCATAGAGGAGACCATATCCACAGGACCTCTTGCTGCCGCAACACTCCTGTTTCTTGCAGCTTTGAAGCGACTATCATTAGTGAACTTCTCCTTCAAAGCTCCACTTTTCTTTTTAAGTGCCGCCACATACTTTGCTTGCAGAGAGACCATCTGCTCTAGGCCTCCAGGCCAGGCTTCATCACCTGTCTCTTGGTGCTCCACAAACGGTCATAACTGGAGCGTAGCTTTTTAAGCTCCAAATTTAATTTGACCAATTTGGTCTCCTCCTCCTCCACCATCTTAATCCGGGCGACCACACAGTCCCTGTATTCCACACAACCTTCCCCCTTCTTGGGGGCCGTTCCCAGGTTCTCTATAGGTGGTATGCAGGGACCGGTACTAAGCCCCTCAGGGGGCCTTCCACCGGCAGGGCCAGGCTCAGGACCCGACATCCTACCTGGGCTGGCTGGGACAATCAAGCCCCCGGCTTTTCAGCCTTCTGGAAGTAGAGCTCTCCACTATGCGACCCCCCCATCAGGAATGGAAATATTTATTGATATGTATTGTGTCATACATAACCAACATAAACTTTTTTACAAAAATATATAAATAAATACAAACATAACACATGAACTGAAACGAAAAAGTCCCTGGGGAACAAAAAACATAATAAACTTAGCCTTTACGGCCCAAAATGTAAGAGTCCAATTCCTGAAAGGGAAACTCACCCATAGTTATATACATAGGCCCTTATGGCCAAAAGAACAGCAACCGCTGTTTCAGATTCTTAAAAAACAAAAAGAATAGGGCTTTATGCCCATCAAGGGCATATGGCCCATATATAAAAACAGACTCATGCAATTTCCATATAACTGCTGCATATGGCCATTATGGCCTAACTATACAACAATGATAACTAAGAAGACAATAACAATCACATACACTGCAAGAGAAGGATTAAGAAAACCGTAGACCTTCAGTGCCCTACCCCTGCCAACCTTTCATCAAAAAGACCTTATCTGCAAAATCTAGGGGGTGAAAGAGGTAGAAACCAGGGACAGATCCCACCACTTGAGATCAACAGACAGCAGCCACAGGCTTGATGTTCCTCCACGCCTCCATCCGAGCCCTTCGCCGCAGCCTGTCTTTCTCAAGGCCCCTGAATTTTCCCAACCTCACCAAGGATGTCACTCACCACCACCTGAACAGGGAGGATTTTCTGCCGAATGGATACCTTACACTGTGCCATCCATGTGTAGTACCGGGCCACTAAGCTAACTAAAAACAGAGTGTCCAAATCAAAACCCGAGCGACCTTTGAATGCTCCATACACCCACTCCGCATAAGACATGTGATGGAGGAAAGGAACACCCAGAGCTCCACCCACCCGTTGATACACTTCTACGTTAAAGGGGCACCGAAGCAAGAAGTAGTCCATAGTCTCCACTTCACCCTGACACTCCGACCTCGGACAACCACGGTCATCCAGAGGGCGGTACTTCATTCTGTTGCCCCTCACGTAAAGCCTGCCATGGAAGGCGAGCCAGGCCTGGTCCCTCAACTTCACGGGGATCCGTTCCAGATTTATCAAATGCAGACCCTCCTTCATAACATGGCCTGGGCAATCTCTCAAGGCCAACAGCGCATGGAAAGCTGTCGCCACAATCCTCTCACCCAGGAGTCTCCTGGGGAGGGACCTGACCTCCTCCACAGTCACATGCCACCACTGGAATAACTTCAGGCATGGGGCCACATAAGCCAGGAGCTTACAATGCTTGACCCGCAGGCTTCTCACTGGCCCGCCACTCTCCCAACTGCTCAGAAAGGGTCCAAACCAGATTCGGAACAGTCCTACCCATGCAGGCGGTCTCTCTACCAACATGCTACCAAGATTATGCTTCAGGAACATCAGAGAGAAGAAAACCACCGGGTTGACCATACCTAGGCCACCCTCCCGCCTGGATGAGTAGGTCACATCCCTCCTGACGAGGTTCAGCCAATTCCCCCATAACATCTGGAAGAAACAGCTGTAGATCCTTGTATAGAGCGACTCTGGCACAAGGCAAACGAAGCTGACGTATAAAAATACGGGGAGCAGGAAAGTCTTGATCAAATCAACCCTTTCCCTCAAGGAGAGCCGCCACCCCTTCCAGCATCTCACTTTGACCTCGACAGTTTGGTTTCCCAATTTAACTTGCTGTATTCAGCAGGGCCGAAATTATTGCCCAAAACTTTGATACTCTGCTGCTGAGGCACCGGGAAGGTGTCCGGGAGTGAGAAGCTCTCACCCTCCCTACCCATCCAGAGAGCTACACCTTTATCCTGGTTGACCTTGGAACCTGATGCCTCGGCATACTGATCTATAACCAAAACCACCTCCTGCGCCTCCTCCGGTCCAGAGATGAAAACATAAACGTCATCAGCATAAGCTACGACCCTCAGAGGCGGATCCCCAGTAGCACCCACCGACTCACCACCCCACCATCTAACCTCCTGATGAAAGGGTTGATGGCAAAGGCATAGAGCAAGGGGTTCAGCGGGCACCCCTGGCGCACCCCAGATCCGACCCCAAAGGGCCGCCCAACCCAGCCATTCACCAACATGAAGCTCTCAGCCTCCCTGTACAACGTCTTCAGCCAGCCAATCAACCTCCCCTCCAAACTGTACCGGTCCAGGAGATGCCAGAGGTACTCATGATTGACTCTATCAAAGGCCTTTCCTGGTCCACCGCCAGCAAGAACTTCCCCCATCCTTCAGCCTTACACTGCTCCAGGGCCTCCCGGACAGCTAACACCGCTGTGAAGGTACTCCTGCCCTGGACCGAGCAATGCTGCTGACGAGAAAGCAAACCGTCTGCCACTGACGACAAGCGCCAGAACAAGATCTTTGCCAGAACCTTTCTATCGACATTGAGGAGGCTTATGGGGCACCAGTTCTCAATAGCCAAAGGATCCTTACCCTTTGACAAGAGAATTACTGCAGACTGTCTCATGGAAGGAGGGAGGGATCCCTCCAGACAGCAATTCTAAATCTCCGCAAGGCGAGGTGCCAGGCAGGACTTAAAGGTTTTGAAAAACGAAGCTGTCAAACCGTCAGGCCCAGGGGTCTTCTTAATGGCCAGACTATCAATGGTCCTGGCCACCTCCTCTGCAGTAATTTCCCCAGTCAAACCCGCCGGTGGAACATTACTTTCCAGATCTGGCGCAGACTCCAAAAAGCTCACCATCCCTGACCAGTCGAGGCGCTTCTCACCCAGTAAGTCCGCATAGAAAGACCTGGAGACCTCCAGAATCCCTGACCTGGATCTTGTCAGGGACCCCGTACTATCTCTCAGAGCAGAGACCGTCTTAATCGCTGCACTCTGTTTGCAGTTCTGGAAAGGGTCAGGCGAGTGGTATTTCCCATAATCCCTCTCCAGAACCAAAGAGGCACGCCGATCATACTGGTACTTCCTGAGAAGAAGCTTCACCTCTGAGACTGCCCCAGAATCTCCACCGCTAGAAACAAGGCAGTCGAGCTTCCTCAGCAACCGTTGGTAGGCGATATACTGATTAAACTGCCTTCTCTTACCTACGGCATTGAAAAACCTGCTGATCCGCACTTTAGTAAGCTCCCACCACTCAGACTTACTGCCGCAGAAATCCAGCACCATCTCCTGAGCCTGAAAGAACTCCTCGAAAGATCGTCTCACCTCCTCATCCTCCAGCAGAGATAAATTCATTCTCCAGATGCCCTTACCTCTCAGCGGCGTGTCTGAAACATTCAAAGTCACAAATAGCATAAGGTGAACAGAAAACTCCACCGCCCGACACACCGGTGCCGAGAGAAGACAGAGTTCTCCTTGAAAAAAAAACCTGTCTATCCTACTCTGACTATTACCTCTCCTAAACATGAAACCAGTGCTGTCTGGGCTGCTCTTAACCAAGGCGTCTACCAGACCTGCTTCCCTGACTGTAGCATTTAGAAAAACGCTATCATATCCCAGCCTGTCATTGAAGCCCCTCCTGTCCTTGGGCCCAGTGATAGTATTAAAATCTCCTCCAAAGACCACCACCCGGGATGTAAAAAGGAAAGGTTTGATCCTTGTGAAGAGGCACTTCCTGTCCCACTTGGACTGCGGCCCGTAAATGTTTATCAGCTGCAACTCCTGCCCCCCCAAAAGGACATCCAGGATCAGACATCTTCTAATCTCTACCTCAATTACCCGCCGACACGTTACCATACCAGTAAAAAGCACCGCAACTCCGCTGTAAGGCTCAGCCGCAAGAGACCAGTAGGAGGGCCCATGCCTCCACTCACGCTTAGCCAGATGTATATCGGCCAAGCTGGACAACCTGGTCTCCTGAAAAAAGAAAACATCAGCTTCCCTCCCACTGAGCAAAAATAAGGCTGTTTCTTTCGCTCGTACAGACCGTAGGCTGGCAACGTTAATAGTTGCCACCTTTATCGGAGCGGGAACTGCCATTAAGGTAGTTGAGAGGGACATTTCTTAACCCTCCTCTTGACTTTCTTGGCAGGGTCCCTCACTCTCTTAAGAGACCCCCCAGCATCCTCGTCCTCCATCGGGGAAGCAGGATCACCTGACCCCTCCTCCTCCCCCCGACAAAGCCCCAAACCTATTCCCCAGTGCCACATCCCCCACCTCTAAAGAGGACACCGACCCAGCTGGGGACAAAAACTGGCTTATTCCGCCTACCCACCAGGGACCACCCCTCCTCTGCCTGAGCGCCTACTGGAGCAGAACCTTGGGACTCCCGGGACTCCCTACCGGGCTTCCCACTCCGCCGCAGCAGCAAGAGCACGAGGGAGCAGACACTGAGGGACTAGACCTAGCTTCAACCATCCTGGCCCCTTTAGCAGCCTCCCTCAGCTGTTTCTTACTCCTGGGAGGAGAACCGGCACACAAGGGGGAGCAACAGGAGACTTCAAAGGGGTAGACAAAACAGGGGGGACAGAGACAGGAGGAGCCACAGAAACCTCCCCTTCCCCCACAAGGTCCGCCACAGCAGCCGAAGCCGCTCTCTCCAATGCCACCTCCGCCTCTTCAGCATCTCTCTGATTCAACTCTGCTTCAAGCTCCCCCCCGGAAGGTAGCTCCCCCCCGGAAGGTTGTGGTGGGCCTCCAGGCACTGGTTGTACGAATGCCCAAGCTCCCTGCAGAGATTGCATCGGATGACATTGCAGTCCCTGGCCAGGTGTCCTATTTCCTGACACAGGGAACATCTAATGACGGGGCAGGTGGCCGCGAAATGCCCCTTGCCCCACACCAGTGGCAGACCCTCGGCTGACCCGCATAAAAAATTATCAGGCGGTCCTTTCCTGGAAAAGTGGAAGAGGGAATGTGCTGGAGCACATTTCCAACCACCTTTAAGCGGAAGGTGGTTGTCCACCCACCTGTCCATATTCCCCTCTCATTATTGATCTTCCCAAGGGGCCCCATCACATTCCCATATCTACTTAGCCAGACCACAATATCTGATGCAGGGATGAATTCATTTCTCACCAGCACCGTTATTTTTTTAATCAGGGACTGGTGAGAGACGAGCCTCGGGATAAGGCCCACCCACCTAAGGCTGGTGACAAAGGTGGCTTCATACCTCTGTCAAAAGAGGTCCAACAATTCCGGCCGCATAAAGGACACGTCATATTCTCCAGTACCAACTGGAGCAATAAACGCAAAAATATCCATGACACGGAAGCCCATCTCTAGTATCTGGTCTATGACCTCTCTCCTGCTAAGGGGGGGACCCTCCCCTGACCACTTGAGCTGAACAACATTTCGCCTCGCGGCGGAAGTGGGTAGATTACCTACCCTTACAAACTAAAAAAATCCCAGCGCCAATCAAAGAAAGTATACAATTATGCAGCTGTGCACCAGTGAAAACCACCAATAATAAATAACACAAAAAAACAGCGCAAAAAAATTAAATAAATAAAAATAATCACAAATAAATAAATGTCCGTGCAAAAATATATATATAATATTTCAAACATAAGTCCTTATTTTCCCAAAAGGATTTTCAAAACAATGTTCCAAAATGTGCTTCCACCTAATCGCCACGTGAAAAAAAATATTGACCGCACTCACCAGATGGAGGTGAGTAATAAGCCTCATAGGATATAAGGGATCCTATAGCCCCTCAGGAGGAACTCAAATCGCCTTCACCCTGCTTAGATACAGCAATCGACTCCACTCTACTTCTCCATGGAATCCTCAATAGTGTGCAAAAAAAGAAAGGCTACATAGTGTAATACTGCCACTCAATACCATATAAATCGATAGAATAAGGACACTCACATGTTTCAATAAAAATAACAGGCCTTGTTTAATAGCCTAAATGGCTTCAAAGGAACACGTTTCCAAATTGTAAATATAGGAATCTCACGCTTTAAGGATCACTGTAGAGGATGACCAGCTTTCCACCTCAAAAATGGCTGCTTGAACCGCAAAAGTCGGCGTGCGTTCCAAATACCGGAAGTGACGTAGGCCAAGAAGACGGCAGACCGGAAGTGCGTCAACGCGTTTCGCCCCACCCACAGGGCGTTTTCAAGACACCACCTTCAGTATCTGGCCGTCTTTTATACGCCTTAGGGAGAGCTCTCATCCATCTCCTATGCAAATTAATAGAAACTACCTCCTGCTACCACACCTGATCATTAAACCATTATAATTACCATACAAAGTACCCACCCTCTGATCTTACCTCATCCTCTATATACTCAGCGTGAGAACCCTTCACAACTTAAATACAAGACAATGATCCGCAATTAAAACAATGAAACAAAATTCCTCATAAATATAAATACAAATCACCATATATTCCAATTATCTTTAATACTCTCTGGGAAATAATGAAAGAATAAAAATAAAAATGTATTATAAATTAAAAAAAAAAAAAAAAATAATAATAAGAAAAGTAAAGTAAAACAATGAAAAAAATTATAAAGCAAATAAAAATAATAATAAAAAAAAATAATAATAATAATATTAAAAAAAAAAAATAAAAAATAAAATAATAGAAAATAAAAAATAATAAGAAAAGTAAAACAATGAAAAAAAATAAAGCAAATATAAATAAAAAAAAAAAACAAATGTACATAGGTAGATCACAATTCCTTAAAAATCTCTGAAATATTTTGAAGCTATAGCACACACAAAACTCTATTGGATACAACCATTAACTTTCCACTAAGTAGAGTGTCTGAAACCACCCACAACTACACTATTAATGGTCTCAGTCAATCCACTCACCAATTGGATAAGAAACAATTAATGTCAATCTCTGCATTTAAACCTTTGGGGGCCAATGTCCCCATATTTATAAATCCACTTAGTTTCATTTTGTGAGATGCCTATCAACATATCTCCCCCTCTCCATGGCGTTTCCACTCTATCTATACCACAGAATTTTAGACAAGTTGGGTCCCTATTGTGACAAACCCTAAAGTGATGTGATAAACTGTGATACTTAAATCCTTTTTTGATGTTTCTGATATGCTCACCTAATCTCACAGATAATTTTCTAGTAGTTCTTCCTATATATTGAAGGTTACAAGAACATTCAAGCACATAGGTAACATGGTTAGATTTGAAGCTATCAAAATATTTTTTATTATTATCCCCTTTTAAAATTCTACATGCTGAACACCTTCCGCATTTAAAAAAACCCACTCTATCCAAAAAAGTGGTTAATTTCCTCGGTTTATCAGGAATATTCTTTACCAATTTATCCCTTAATACAGGCGGTTTTCTGTAAATGAAACTAGGCCTCTCTGGAAGTAATTTACTCAAAATCTCATCTCTTTCTAGAATTTGCCAGTGCTTCCTTATAATCCTTTCTACTAATTTAAATTGGCGAGAATAACTTGTTATAAAAGCCATTTCTCCTGTGCATCTATCTTTAGATTGTTTGACCAGCAAATCTTCCCTATTCATTCCCTTGACCTGTTCTAGAGCACATTGCAAGGACTGTTCTTTATAACCTTTTTCCCTAAATCTATTCAATAACATATCAGATTGATTTTGAAATACTTTATTATCATCACAGTTGCGTTTTAACCTAATAAGTTGACCTTTTGGAATGGCCTTAAGCCAGTTTCTGTGATGGCAGCTATGGTTCGGAATATACCCATTCCTGTCAACATCTTTAAAATGGGTCTTTGTAAGAAACCTGTTACCTTGCCTATACACCGTCAGGTCCAAAAAATCAATAGCTGTCTCACTCAGGTTATAAGTGAATGATAAGTTAACATCATTATTCCCCATCTTATCAATAAAGTCAACCAGTCCTTCTTTATCTCCTTTCCATATAATGATGATGTCATCTATGAACCTCCTATAAAGTAGCAGTTCTTTCTTCCTATTTTCAAAGATTGCCTTACTTTCCCACCCACTCATGAATAAATTAGCTACTGACGGTGCATACTTAGCACCTATCGCTACACCCATAATCTGTTTATAAAATCTTTTAGAATGCCAGAAATAATTATGTGTCATAGCCAGATCCAGACATTTCATGATGATAAATTGTATTTGGTCAGAATCAACTCCTGACTTAGTTACCATTGCTCCTTTAACCGCTGCTAGGGCGTCATGATGTTTTATATTAGTGTATAGCGAATTTACATCTACACTGGCCATGACACAATACTCACCTTCACTAATAGCTTTGAGTGAGCTAATCAAATCCCCACTATCTCTTAAGTAAGCGGGAAAGGAAGATACCAAGGGTTGCAAAAACGTATCTACATATTCTCCCAGTCTGGAGAACAATGAATCAATCCCATTTATGATCGGTCTTCCTGGAGTTTTTGTCAGATTTTTATGAATTTTAGGTAATTGGTAAATCACTGGTATTTTAGGAGCCTTAGGCACTAGATATCTTGTTTCCTTACTATTCAATATTCCCAATTTTTCTCCTTCTTTGACTAGTTTAATTAATTTTGATCTATATTTCCTTGTGGGGTTATTTTTCAATAATTCATATGTGTTAACATCATCCACCAGTCTATTCAGCTCTATATAATAATCTACTTTATTTAAAACCACTACCCCCCCTCCCTTATCTGCTGATCTAATTACAATATTTTCATTCTTTTCTAACTTCCGAATTCCTGAAATTATATCCTGTTTAGATCTCAACTTGGGGATAGATAAATGCTCCAAATCATGCTCTACCATTTTTTTAAAAGTTTCCACACAGTGATTATTTGCTATTTTAGGATTAAAGACTGATTTATTCCTTAATTTAGTATGCAAATAAGGGCCTATAGTATCCTTTTGCATATTCCCAATAGGATATAGACTTGATTTATCACTAACAACACCCTTCTCAATATCATTATTACCACTTTGTTTCTTACTCCAAAATTTCTTTAGATTAATTTTTCTAATATATTTCTGTAAATCTATGTATGCATCCAATTTGTTAAGATCTCTATCTGGTGCAAATTTCAGACCCAAAGATAGCACTTTCAATTCTTCTTCAGTTAAAACATAATCACTTAAGTTAAAAATTCCTTGATTTAGGTCGAGCTTTTTCTTTTTCCCTTGCCCTCCTCTAAACCCCCTCCTTCTCCTCCTCCCCAATAGGGATACTGATCCATCCTGGGTGGCCCCCACCCTCCTCTCCCCCTCCCGGGGTGGTAGTAAGGTCCCCCTCTCCCCTCATATGGAAAGAACCTCTTGGACCCCCTCCTCTCCAAGGGGGTGGTCCTGCAAAGCCTCCCCTTGAAAAATTATTATCTCTCCCTGTATTGTAGTTATATCCTCTAGGGGATGCCATACCCCAATTGTTAAGAGGTTCAAACCGATTTTTTACAGGTACATTATAACCCGATGTGTTATCTTTCCAAAAATTCTTTTTAGGAGATGAATTAGTAATACTACTGGGTGGATTACCCTTCACATTTGTTGTAGTGAGAGATGTTTTCAGGGAAGATTTTTTCTCATCACTCACCTCCTCAACAGAGGAGTTCCTTGAGTCACCATTACCACCGGAAACATCTTCTTGCCATTTATATACGTTATTAGATTTAAAATCCTGCATATCCCTACAATATTTCTTAATTTTTTTCTTTTGAGTGTCCTCATCTACCTTATTGATAAGTGGGGATTTGATTAGCTCACTCAAAGCTATTAGTGAAGGTGAGTATTGTGTCATGGCCAGTGTAGATGTAAATTCGCTATACACTAATATAAAACATCATGACGCCCTAGCAGCGGTTAAAGGAGTAATGGTAACTAAGTCAGGAGTTGATTCTGACCAAATACAATTTATCATGAAATGTCTGGATCTGGCTATGACACATAATTATTTCTGGCATTCTAAAAGATTTTATAAACAGATTATGGGTGTAGCGATGGGTGCTAAGTATGCACCGTCAGTAGCTAATTTATTCATGAGTGGGTGGGAAAGTAAGGCAATCTTTGAAAATAAGAAGAAAGAACTGCTACTTTATAGGAGGTTCATAGATGACATCATCATTATATGGAAAGGAGATAAAGAAGGACTGGTTGACTTTATTGATAAGATGGGGAATAATGATGTTAACTTATCATTCACTTATAACCTGAGTGAGACAGCTATTGATTTTTTGGACCTGACGGTGTATAGGCAAGGTAACAGGTTTCTTACAAAGACCCATTTTAAAGATGTTGACAGGAATGGGTATATTCCGAACCATAGCTGCCATCACAGAAACTGGCTTAAAGCCATTCCAAAAGGTCAACTTATTAGGTTAAAACGCAACTGTGATGATAATAAAGTATTTCAAAATCAATCTGATATGTTATTGAATAGATTTAGGGAAAAAGGTTATAAAGAACAGTCCTTGCAATGTGCTCTAGAACAGGTCAAGGGAATGAATAGGGAAGATTTGCTGGTCAAACAATCTAAAGATAGATGCACAGGAGAAATGGCTTTTATAACAAGTTATTCTCGCCAATTTAAATTAGTAGAAAGGATTATAAGGAAGCACTGGCCAATTCTAGAAAGAGATGAGATTTTGAGTAAATTACTTCCGGAGAGGCCTAGTTTCATTTACAGAAAACCGCCTGTATTAAGGGATAAATTGGTAAAGAATATTCCTGATAAAACCGAGGAAATTAACCACTTTTTTGGATAGAGTGGGTTTTTTTAAATGCGGAAGGTGTTCAGCATGTAGAATTTTAAAAGGGGATAATAATAAAAAATATTTTGATAGCTTCAAATCTAGCTCTAAGGGTTCGTCCTATAAAATTAAGAAGTTTATTTCATGTGACACTTACCATGTTACCTATGTGCTTGAATGTTCTTGTAACCTTCAATATATAGGAAGAACTACTAGAAAATTATCTGTGAGATTAGGTGAGCATATCAGAAACATCAAAAAAGGATTTAAGTATCACAGTTTATCACATCACTTTAGGGTTTGTCACAATAGGGACCCAACTTGTCTAAAATTCTGTGGTATAGATAGAGTGGAAACGTCATGGAGAGGGAGAGATATGTTGATAGGCATCTCACAAAATGAAACTAAGTGGATTTATAAATATGGGGACATTGGCCCCCAAAGGTTTAAATGCAGAGATTGACATTAATTGTTTCTTATCCAATTGGTGAGTGGATTGATTGAGACCATTAATAGTGTAGTTGTGGGTGGTTTCAGACACTCTACTTAGTGGAAAGTTAATGGTTGTATCCAATAGAGTTTTGTGGTGCTATAGCTTCAAAATATTTCAGAGATTTTTAAGGAATTGTGATCTACCTATGTACATTTGTTTTTTTTTTATTATTTATATTTGCTTTATTTTTTTTCATTGTTTTACTTTTCTTATTATTTTTTATTTTCTATTATTTATTTTTTTTTTTTTATTTAATATTATTATTATTATTTTTTATTATTATTATTTATATTTGCTTTATAATTTTTTTCATTGTTTTACTTTACTTTTCTTATTATTTTTTTTTTTTTTTTTAATTTATAATACATTTTTATTTTTATTCTTTCATTATTTCCCAGAGAGTATTAAAGATAATTGGAATATATGGTGATTTGTATTTATATTTATGAGGAATTTTGTTTCATTGTTTTAATTGCGGATCATTGTCTTGTATTTAAGTTGTGAAGGGTTCTCACGCTGAGTATATAGAGGATGAGGTAAGATCAGAGGGTGGGTACTTTGTATGGTAATTATAATGGTTTAATGATCAGGTGTGGTAGCAGGAGGTAGTTTCTATTAATTTGCATAGGAGATGGATGAGAGCTCTCCCTAAGGCGTATAAAAGACGGCCAGATACTGAAGGTGGTGTCTTGAAAACGCCCTGTGGGTGGGGCGAAACGCGTTGACGCACTTCCGATCTGCCGTCTTCTTGGCCTACGTCACTTCCGGTATTTGGAACGCACGCCGACTTTTGCGGTTCAAGCAGCCATTTTTGAGGTGGAAAGCTGGTCATCCTCTACAGTGATCCTTAAAGCGTGAGATTCCTATATTTACAATTTGGAAACGTGTTCCTTTGAAGCCATTTAGGCTATTAAACAAGGCCTGTTATTTTATTGAAACATGTGAGTGTTTCTTATTCTATCGATTTATATGGTATTGAGTGGCAGTATTACACTATGTAGCCTTTCTTTTTTTTTGCACACTATTGAGGATTCCATGGAGAAGTAGAGTGGAGTCGATTGCTGTATCTAAGCAGGGGTGAAGGCGATTTGAGTTCCTCCTGAGGGGCTATAGGATCCCTTATATCCTATGAGGCTTATTACTCACCTCCATCTGGTGAGTGCGGTCAATATTAATTTTCACGTGGTGATTAGGTGGAAACACATTTTGGAACATTGTTTTGAAAATCCTTTTGGGAAAATAAGGACTTATGTTTGAAATATTATATATATATTTTTGCACGGACATTTATTTATTTGTGATTATTTTTATTTATTTAATTTTTGCGCTGTTTTTTTGTGTTATAGATTACCTGCCCTTGCCCGGGCCGATCCCACTGACCCCTGACCTCCCCTAACTGCAGCGGAGTAACTGAGCCCCGATCTAGCCCCAGGGGCACTCACCACCGAGGGGGATGACCAGGGGAAGCCGCCCCACCAGCAGCAGCAACTGAAGGGGCAGACGCAGATGAGCCAGGACCTGGGGGAGCCTGGGGCTGGGGACCACCCACACCAGCAGGAAAAACCCACTTGAGCCTGACCCACAGGAGCCTGGACCTGAGAACCTGCAGCCCCCTGAGGAGAAACCGGGGGACCTGCTGGTTGCACACCAGAGGCCACCATGCCCCTGAAGGGGCGGGGCCTAGCGGGACCACCACAGGAGGGGAAACACCCTTAGCCAGGACTGTAAGGCGAACCTGCACCTCAGACAAATTTGCAGGCGTTATACCCGCTACCCCAGCGTCCACAACCATCTCACCAACGCACTCAGCAGAGTCCTTCTGTACAGACAGCGGCTCCCCTGTCTTTGCCATCACATCCTTGGGGATGCGCTGCAGCATGACAAAGGCGGCACACTCTTTCACCACCGGCTTGCAGGGGATGACGTCACTTCCAGCTTCTTCCTCTGAGTCCTCGGACGTAAACCGGAAGTCAGCTCCACGCAGTTCCGGCACCGCCTCTGCCACGAACCGCAATCTGCCCGCCATCTCCGCTTCTTCCACCTGGGTCCCCCAATCCACAGGCTGCTGCCCAGGGGGGAGGGACTCTGACGATCCAGCGACCACGCTGTCTTCCATTTTAGGCACCATTTTCTCTGAGGATGCTGCGGGCACAGCCTGCCCCTGCTCCTGCTCGCCTTCCACTGGCAACTCCCCCGACAATTCCTCCACCGAGGAGGCCTCCTCCTCCGGACCCCGCATAGCCACAACACTGTGGCTTCTTGCAGCCTTAAATTTAGCTTCATTCAAATACTTTTCACTTAGGACACCGCTCTTGCGCTGCAGCGCCGCCACATACCTCCCCTGCTGGGACACACGTAGTTCCAGCGCCTGCAGGCCCGGTTTCATGGCCTGCCGCTTTGTAGACCATACACGGTCGTAGGATGACCGGAGCTTCTTTAGCTCCAGAGTCAGCTTCTGGAGCTTGGCTTTCTCCTTCTCTACTAACCTGGCTCGAGTGGCCACATGGTCCCGGTAGTCAGAGTAAGCTTCCCCCTTCCTAGGGGCCATTCCCAGGTCCTCTATCGGTGTAAAAGAGAGGCCGGTACTAGGCCCCTCCAGGGCCTTCCCCTTGCTGCACCCAGGCCCAGGATCCGCCATCCTGCCTGGGCTGGGCAGGGCACTTTAGCCCCAGGCTTCTTGGGCCTTCCTGGAGCTTAGCAGAGTACAGTCCAGCACAACCTCTCCACAAGGACTCACCACTGGTGGTGCTGTGGCTCACTTGTTCTGTGGGCTGCAGTACCAGCTCCTACCAGAGGGTGCTTTCAGCAGCCAGGGTCTCACTCCTGCAATCAAGCCATCACCTGAGGCTGATTGCAGGAGGTGTATTTAAGCAGAACCAGGCCTGCAATCAGTGCCTTGGTGTTGTTCCCCATAAGCCCCTGTACCTGCATCCTGTCTGCTTCCTGCCTGATCCTGACTCTTCCAGAACTCTGCCTGCACTGACCCAGGCTATTCCTGACCTTTCTTCTGCCTGCTCCTTTGTACCTTGTCTACCCGATAGTTACTGACCCGGCCTGCCTGACTACGCTTGTGTTCCCGCACATATTGAGACTAGTTTAAGGTTTGCTATATATAATGTGAATCCTTGTGAGCTATTAAGAATGAGGTATTCTGTGGGTGTTAAACAATTATGTGCTAGTTTTTTGTGGCAGATCAATATATAAGGTATTAATAATGCCGCGCTCCTATTTGTATACATATATATCTCTATGTCTCTATATCCAATCTGTGCTCATTCTACTTAATAAATAGTGATATTCCATAAACTAATATGATTAAATGATTGCTAATATATTGCCAATACACACATACACAACCTAAATGTGTGTAACAAATAATAATCAATATAGGACCTTGATATAATGTGAATAATGAATAAGTGGATAAATCAATATAAATATAAATATAATTAGTGCCACTCTAATTATATGTGATCAATCCAGCAATATTAGTGCAAAAATATTCTAATGTGCACGTGCATAAGTGTAATACATGAAAAAATAAATAAATAAAGTCTTTATAAACAAGTGCCAAAGTGCAGGTGAATCCTTGTTCCCTCTCGCCAGGTGCCTTATGGTCTCCCTATGCACTCACCTTTAAGTTTGCCTGAATGAATTCAGGCAAATAAACTTTTTGATCCTTCCAGGATCGGTGGGTTGATGCTCTGTGTAATTAGATGTGCCAAGGTGTAGATGTAGGTACTCCTGTACTCTCCTCTTTCTCCTTTAACAACTGCTCATACACCGATATAAAGACCAGCTCTTTCTCCTTATTCCCCTTCAGGGGTCATCTCCTTCTCATTTCCTCCTCTCACCCATGTGGAATTTAAGGGTCAGATGTAGAGAAAAGAAAAACAAACCATTGTGCTTTATCCTTTTAAAAGTGGAAATTTATTTCTGCCTGTAGCGATATTTCACAGCGATACACAGTTCCTTGGTAGTCCAGGGCGGCATAAATAACACAGTCAATAGTGGGTGAGCAATCCTGTACCTCTGCTCTCCCTCCCTGCCTGCCTCTGTCTGCGTTGGAATCGCCGAGCCTCGCCGCTGCAATGTCGTGACGTCAGAGCCCCTCCCCTACGCGTTGCGTCACAGGGTCACGTGACTTCATCAGGGGGATAATGATTGGATGCCACAACTTGTCCTTGCCCATATATATATTACTCGGCCGCCATCTTGTTGAAGCCCACATGGGCGTGGCCATTTTCTAAGTGATTATAATTGTCTTAGCTGCAACTCAGTGTCTGTCCATATAAATACACTCGAGTGCAGGGATAGATCTATCTGTCAGACATTGCTACTCGGGTCAGCTGTGTTCCTTCTCTCCTATTAGTACTGATGTAGCATTTAAAATAACCTTATATAATACTGTGTATCTTTCTACAGGCTAACATTACAAATTATGCAGTCTTTATTACATCTCAAAACATAAAAAACAATTAATTGTGCTGGTACAATAAATTAAAATAAAATATATATATTATATAAATATATATTGATGCTTATACAAATATTCATAAAAACCCCTAATATATCATCCTAATCTAAGAATATTATATATATCTCTCAGTACACTCTCAGCCTATTTAGTATTTATGTAAATTATTTGGCACCATATCTTATGCTAGGCTTATTGCAGATGGTAAATGTATTGAACTCACACATATAAAATAATAAAAATATATAAAAAATTTATTAAAAATAAAATTTTAAAAAAAATTATTTGGAATATTAGAATAGTGATAGTGAATATTCCTTAATAAAACTTAAACATTTTATTTTTATTTATATTTTAAATTAAAAACAACCCTCATCCTGTGCTGATTTTATGGGCCTCAAACCAAATAGTGAAACATCTATGTCTTCATACTTATTTGTTGCTAATGAAACATGCCAGATCAAATTCTTTATTCAACCCATTAGGAGCTAGGCACCCCATTTCGTATATCCACTTAGATTCCTTCTTGCTTATTTCTCTTGTTAGATTGTCTCCCCTCCAGTGTTGTACATGTTTTTCTACACCCCAAAACTCTAGAAATCTTGCATCTATATTGTGGTATTTCTTAAAGTGCTGTGATAAATGATGGTATTTGTACCCCCTGTTAATATTGTAGACATGTTCTTTTATTCTTTCTCTTAGCATTCTTTTTCGTGCGACCAATGTATATCAGGTTGCATGGACATTTCAAGGCATAAACAACCCCTCTAGTGTCACATGATATAAATTGCTTAATACTATACTCTTTTCCACTGTTGGGGTTCTGAAATGTGAATCTTCTCCTGGGGTTATTTACCAGTCTAGTGCAACTATAACATCTGCCACAGGCATAAAACCCCTTACCCTGGAAAAAACTTAGTTGGTGTCCTTTAGTAGGTGGTTCTAGTATGTTTTTTACCACATTATCTCTAATACTGGGAGCTTTTTTATATATAAACCTTGGTATTTCCGGAATGTTATTCTTCAAGTGTTTGTCTAATGTTAAAATCTTCCAGTGTTTCTTTATTATATTCTGCACTGATTTATACTGTGTATTATACTGTAGTACTACTGATAGTTCCTCCTTTTCAGTATTCTCTTTCTGTTTATCTACTACCAACTTATTACGGTCCATAAACCCTACTTTCTCTCTTTCTTCTTGTATGGTTTCTTTATTATACCCTTTGTGTATAAATCTTTCTGATAGTATTCTGCTTTGTTCTACATAGTCTTTCATTTTAGTGCAATTCCTTTTTAGCCTAATGAATTGGCCTCTGGGGATATTTGTTAACCACGCTTTGTGATGGCAGCTGTCTATAGGAATGTATGCATTTCTGTCTACTGATTTAAAATAATTTTTAGTACATAATTGTATTCCTTCTTTAAAAATCTGGATATCTAAAAAGTTGATAAAACTATCATGTATATCATAGCTCAATTTTATATTTGCTGCATTCCTATTGAGGTCATCATAGAATTTAATCAATTCTTCTTTCTCTCCATTCCATATAACCAAGAGGTCATCAATGTACCTTTTATATATTATTAATTTCTAATTACACAGAGCATCAACCCACCGATCCTGGAAGGATCAAAAAGTTTATTTGCCTGAATTCATTCAGGCAAACTTAAAGGTGAGCGCATAGGGAGACCATAAGGCACCTGGCGAGAGGGAACAAGGATTCACCTGCACTTTGGCACTTGTTTATAAAGACTTTATTTATTTATTTTTCATGTATTACACTTATGCACGTGCACATTAGAATATTTTTGCACTAATATTGCTGGATTGATCACATATAATTAGAGTGGCACTAATTATATTTATATTTATATTGATTTATCCACTTATTCATTATTCACATTATATCAAGGTCCTATATTGATTATTATTTGTTACACAAATTTAGGTTGTGTATGTGTGTATTGGCAATATATTAGCAATCATTTAATCATATTAGTTTATGGAATATCACTATTTATTAAGTAGAATGAGCACAGATTGGATATAGAGACATAGAGATATATATGTATACAAATAGGAGCGCGGCATTATTAATACCTTATATAGTTTAAGGTTTGGTTTGGTTTTGCACTGTGTGTTCTGTGTATTGTGTAACCTTAAATAAATTATATTACTTTTACACCATACTTGAAGCCTGTGTTTCCCTGTGTCAGTCCACACATCTCTGGTCATACCTGGATCCCTGACAGTATTCTCTATTGAGAAGAGGAGAGTAAGGGTGGTATGATCAACATGTATAAATACATCAGTGGGTTATTGAGTTAATGAGTTATTCACCCTGAGGTCATTCTTTACACCTGGAGGAAAAGAGATTTATTTTCCAAATACAGAAAGGTTTCTTCACAGTAAGAGCTGTGAAAATGTGGAATAGACTCCCTCAAAGAGTTTTGTTCTGGCC